CAATTATGTATTTACAACAATTATTCATAATAAAGAAAAAAAAATTTTTCACAAAGATTATTCTTCATCTTTTCATTGCAGTATTATTTTTTAATTGTGATTTTTATTTTTTAATTTATTGATTTTGCATATAGTAAATTTTTGGCGAATGTATTTATTTTGGTAATCGCGTGTGCAAGAGAAAATTAATTGAATTATTCATAATAATTATAAATGACTCATTCAATTGAATTAATAATGAATTAATAATGAATTAATGAATGAATGAATAATGATTAATAAATTAATAATTGAACAAATGATAATTTCAAGAGGAAACTCCAATTTTCTTGCCGAAAACTGTGTTATTGGCAAAACTAAATAATTTAGAGAGGAAATATTCTTTCCTCGTCAATGTATTCTTTCTATAGGAATATTTCTGGGATATTTTTGTTCTAGGGATATTTCTGATGATCACGACAAAATTTAATTTTTAGGAAAGATATTAAATTTTCTTCTATCAAGTTGGAAAATTTTCCTTAAGTGAATCTGTCCCACTCAATCAAATATTCTCCCCTGGAACATATCGTTTTTCCGCAGAGCAAATTGTTTCTCTCAGCCCAGGAAACTCCTTACTCTTCAAAATTTGGAATCAACTTCCTACAAAAAGTTATCGGTATTTTCCAAAACCAATGCATACTGACCTTTAGATGGTGATGATGACGATCAATTCAGTTTGGTTTTGAAAAATATTGATAACTTTTTGTAGGAAATTAATTTGAAAATTTTACGGAATCGAAGACCTTCTGTTAGGCTTCCAGGTATAAGTGATGATAATCCGTTTCTTCCTTATCATTCGTCGAAATGGATGACAAACGCCTCTCGTCATTCTCAAAAGGACCTGAGAGTTCAGTTCAGTTCAGAGAACAACCCAGTTGATTATTGATTTCTAATTACTATTCACAATCCGCCAAGACTGGCGACGAGAATCTGTAGGAAATCTCGTCAAATCCATCCCCAGAATCTCTCCCAGAATCTCCCTTCTCCATTCGAAGCCAACGGATCAAATTCAATGATTTTACTCTGCAAATTTATTTTCTCAATTCAATTTATTTATCACGCACGTGTCTCAAAGTGAATGAAAAAGTGTCTGGCGAAGTTTTTTTATGACTTCAGACACGTGTGCACCCTTTCCGCAACTTTCTCTAGGTTTTTTTTAGATAGAGTGGGACGAGATGGTCTGTTCACGTAGAGAAAATCGAGACTTTTTTCTACTCCCCATATTTTTCATAGATAATGTTTATAATATTCCACACCTACTGAAAATAATTCTTACTATTTTTTTTCAATTGCTGGGAATACGGTGAATTTTTTTGTAAATTTTCTGTTACATAATTTCTGCGATATTCAACTCTAAAAAATAGCAATTCCCTGAAATCATTTCGTGTTTGATTCAAACAATTAATTGATATTGCCTTCATCAACAACATATGAGGACAGAAAAACTCAATAACTCACGAGAATGCAATAAATTAAGCCATTTAGAATTTTTCCGGAAATCCACAGGGACTAAATTTTGGGTGATATTGTCTTGGGGTATACCTTAAGGTATATCCCTAGAAGACAGATTTTTCTCACCTTGTGCTTCATAGATAATGTTTATAATATTCCACACCTACTGAAAATAATTCTTACTATTTTTTTTCAATTGCTGGGAATACGGTGAATTTTTTTGTAAATTTTCTGTTACATAATTTCTGCGATATTCAACTCTAAAAAATAGCAATTCCCTGAAATCATTTCGTGTTTGATTCAAACAATTAATTGATATTGCCTTCATCAACAACATATGAGGACAGAAAAACTCAATAACTCACGAGAATGCAATAAATTAAGCCATTTAGAATTTTTCCGGAAATCCACAGGGACTAAATTTTGGGTGATATTGTCTTGGGGTATACCTTAAGGTATATCCCTAGAAGACAGATTTTTCTCACCTTGTGCTTCATAGATAATGTTTATAATATTCCACACCTACTGAAAATAATTCTTACTATTTTTTTTCAATTGCTGGGAATACGGTGAATTTTTTTGTAAATTTTCTGTTACACAATTTCTGCGATATTCAACTCTAAAAAATGGAAATTCCCTGAAATCCCCTGAAATCATTTCGTGTTTGATTCAAATAGTTATTATTGCCTTCATCAACAACATACGAGGACAGTAAAACTCAATAACTCAAGAGAATGCAATAAATTAAGTAATTTAGAATTTTTTCCGGAAATCCATAGAGACTAAGTTTTAGATGCGATTATCTTGGGATATACCTTAACGGAAAATGTGTGATGGTAACTGGTTGAACGAAGAGAGTAGAGGGTGTACAACGGGCGACGCTCGGGCGAAAATGCTGGAGAGGGTGAGAGTGAGAAAGATGAAGCGCCACGAGGGAGAGAGAGAGGTGGCACGCGCAATGCGGGTATTGATTCACGGCGGCGGGCAGCAGTGGCAAGCAGGCGCCCCCGAGTCGAGTTGAGTCCGTCGACTCGTCTCCCCCGAAATTCCTTCCAACACATCTTTTCGTTTTTTTATCATCGCTTTATTCACCTCATTCCTTCATCCCTTTCTCGGGCAGACGCATTTTCATAAAATTCATTTTCTCAAGGCACTTTTCGTGGGAGATTCTTGTGAACGAGAGGTACTTGGGGGGAGAATTGGCGATTTTAATGGATGGGAAAGGTATTGTATTTTTTTTTAAATATGGAAACATCAATGTTGGGAATTTAGATTCGGTGTGAGACTTTGATAAATATTGAAATTTTAGATTTCACAGGGAATTCAATTAAATTCCGAATTTTTGAGCAGCAGAAAGTCGAGAATTCCTCAACTTACTTGAGTTGTTAAGTAATTGGAAGTTGAGAAGTTGAGGAACTGAAATTCATAATTTTCAATGATTTTTACGTGGAATTTCGGTGGAACTATGATGTGAAGATTTCTACGAATTGTGCCCAAAATTCGTTACAGAAATTTTAAGGAAATTCGCCATTAAGAATTCACAATTTTATGAAAAAATTAATGGACCCTGTGTTCAGTTTAATTATTCCATAAAAAGTAACAGAAATTAGAATAAACTCAGGTAAATGAATTCTTGAAATTCCAATTGAATAACAATTCTGCATAATTTTTAATTCTGACTGAACATTGAATTAAAAATTCGTAATTTGATGAAGAAATCAATTCCATAAAAATTGAAAGAAATCTTTAAAAAAACAGGTGAATAAATTCTCACAACTTCAATTAATTACCAATTCTGTATAATTTTTTTTATTACTGGATTTGCTACTGAATTTTCATTCTCCCAGGGCTCAAAAATTCGGAATTCCACTGAAATTTCTCTAAAATTTGGAATTTCACGATTTTTCCTCCCTAAATCAAATTCACTGTCGCTCCTGACATCGACCCCAACTCATACTTTTTCCATGACGCAATTTTCCCTCCGCAATCACCCGCCGGTCAGTAATTTTCAACTTAAAAAAAAATCCGAAAATTGGGAGATGACGAAATTGAATCGATTCTGCGTGGTGACGCTGGTTTGCTGGCGCAATGGAGTGATGCCCCCGTAACAGATCGTGGACGGTCCGGGGTAGACTGGGGGAACTACACTAGTGGACGTTGAAGTAGCGGCAGGGGCTCGCCAGGAGTGGATGAAGATGAATGATCAGACATCACCGAAACTTTTCGAAAGAGTACGAGCGAAAGGACATAAATAAGAAGAAGCAAGGAGAGAACTCATCCCCAACAAAGCACAATATTCCAACTGCATCAATCAGCTTAATCCCCAAAATCCAGTTGGTTCGAGTCGATAAATAAAATATCAATAGATAAAGTCTCCAGCCGAATGTAAAACCTCACCACTTATTTATACATCTCTTTTGGCTGTGAAAACGATTGGGAATTCAGTCAGCAGTGATGGCTCGACCGTGTGCGGTCGCCACGGTGAAGATCAAAGGTCATAACGGGATACATCTCTGGTTGCTGTGCACGACGGCAACGGTGTACGTAATTCATGAACATGAGAATGCCCTCGAGCTGTACGAGATGCACGAGAAAATAATGGAAAATTAAACCCAAATTTTCCAGAGAATAACCCTCCACACCCCCCCCCNCCCCCCTTCCCCCCGACAAGAAAAAAAAAACAATTCCACTAATTAATTAGTTGGATCCTTTTGAATGATTTACGATGATGAATTGTGCTCGGGAGAATCTAAGGGGGACGCTACACCGAAAGGAAATTTCAATTAGAACTCTGGGTATCGGGGCAACGACAGGGCCGGGGTTTTCTAAAAATAAAAGGTAATGGCCAAACAATCGAAGACTAATCGATAAACGTTAAGAACAAAACCAGGTGTTTGTAGACCTAGTCTGCACGGATATTCTGCCTGGAATTGCTTTGAAGATAACTTTGTATTCCCTTTTTTAACTACTGATGGTACTTCAGATTTTTGCCGACAATTTTTTGCATTGCCGACAGTTGGGCTCGTTGACAGCAACATTTATTTCCTTATCGACCGCCATGCTGTCGATAATGTAGAGTTGAGCCGGCATAACAGAGCCGTGCCGGTAAAGCAGAACGCTGGTGATACATGTCCGACAATGTCGATAACGAAGATTTTTTTCCACAAGTTGCCGACTTATACCGATAGTTTATCATCAGTCACCAAATTCTTGATTACCGACAGTAACGGAAATCCAGCCGGCAACGAAAATTTTTCTTGCCGCGAGTTACCGACTTATACAGATAGTTAACCATCACAGTCATCAAATCTTTCGTTACCGACAGTAGCAGAAATCTACTTCGGACCGTACCAACCTCGTGTCGGTAAAGAAGATATCCATCGGTAAATTGAGTTGTCGACCGATACAACTTTCTTTATCATCGCAGGTACTCGAAATCCTTCGTTACCGGCATACACAGAAATCTATTTTACCGATCGAAATACAACTAAATGTGAAAAAAAACTCACATGATATCACCGAGCTTGAGACGCGTCTGTATGAGGGCACAGCTCTTGTGATCACTTGTTGTGACAGCCCTCCGGCGTCTTGTGTATCTCGGTGCATCGGATGGCATGAGTGAATTTTCCCCAGGGGTCCCATGTGGAGTGAGGCCCGCACCGACACGCACCAGCGGGCTACTGCCACGCCGACGCGTAGACACGTGCCGGCCTCCCACGCTTCCCAGCATCCTGAAAACAAATTAAAATTCATGTGCTGTTGGAATTAAATTTTCACTGACAGTTGATAAATATTTTGATTAGTGACGCCGTCGAGACTAGTCGAGAATTATTTTGAAGAGATCAGCACGGTCTGGAAAAACATCGAAAGTTTTGGAATCGTCGCAATCTCGAAAGACATTGGATCGGTTTTTTTAATTCAGACGAGACAGATATCGAGACAAACATTTGAAAAACAGAAAACACTGAAACTCAGACGTGATGAATTCTTCCAAGTTCGTGACGAGATGCACCGATCCAATGTCTTTCGAGATTACGACGATTCCTAATCGTTTTCGATTTTTTTTTAGACCGTGATGATCTTTCCAAAATAATTCTCGTCTAGTCTCGACGGCATCACTAATTTTTATGGAATTAATTCGTTCAATCGACAATTTTCAGTTGCAAAAGAGTATCAATCTTTGGCGCTATCTGATGAACGGGGAGTTCGGGGGTAAGACATTCTTCAGTGAAACGGCCATATGGTTAATTAGGTTAGGTTGACTGGCCTAATCTTGGAGAATCAAGGGGGCACGTAAAGTCACGCGATCCTCTTTCGTGCACGGCTGCCTTTGCCTATATTTACTCGTGAGGGAGGTGGGAAATATCATCTCGGGTAGTTAATCGTTTCTCATGGGCAATTCCTCTGCAAACTACTTTTTCGTAGATGAACAGGGAATTAAATGAAATGAAAGTTTGACGCGTAAAAAACTTTGTGATGACTGGAATTTCGATTTTTTTTTAATGAGCTTTTCTTCGAGCTAGAAGCAAGACGAGACATAATAGAGAAGATATTTTTGGTGACATCCATTTTCTTCCAATTTGAGGGTGACGAGGGAGGGAGATGTCGAATTAATTCAGACGTAATTAGTTAATTAATTAATTGATTAATTTTTGCGATAAAAAATCCTTTTGAAGAGTATTTTTTCTTAGAATAATATTTCAGGTTTTTGCGCCTTTCTGATTTTGTAATGATACTTCATTAATTAAGCATTATTATAAAGCTAATAATTGATTAATAATAATACTTAATTAATTAAGTATGATTAATCTTGTGGTTCTGTAATTAAGTATCATTACAGAATCAGAAGCACGCAAAAACCTTAAATATAATTCTGAGGAAATCTACTCTTCATCAATATTTTTAGTCGCGAAAATTCTTTTACCCTTTTTTTCTAACTCCTAAGTGAATAAATAATTGGCTCTTGAAAACGAATGATGTATTTGGAAAAATAAATCCTGGAGTAAAACACCTAGAATATCTCCACTGTAAGCATTTAAAGTCTTAATTTGAGGTATTAAAAACGACTCAAATTTGGGTATCTCAAGTTTTCACAGTTTAGTACATTGGGATTACTTCTTTATTCGAATACTAAATTTAATTAAAGACCTCGGAGAGGGATAATATACTGAAATATAGCCGCTGGTAATTTCAACGCGAGATTAAAGTGCGGAGAAAACAGAGTACATTGATGGCATCCGTGAGGTGAATATGACCAGCTCGAGATAGGACTTTCCTAATTTCGAAATTAGAGGGTTTCGTTTTGCTGGAATTATCGCAGGTTATATCTGTATTGTCGAGCAAATTGCTATTGTGTCAATTTGGATGACTCGAGGAGGTGGATTTAACAATTGCTCAGCGCCGTCTCAACCCATTTCCACTTGTCATTACTCCCTGAAGGAGATACCTCGAGAGGCTGGTGCTATTTATCTTCTCCCTGTTTAAATTCTGGCTCAGTGATAAAGCGCTTTAGAATATTAAGCCGGATGACACGGGCAATTTCACGAGTCGAGTGGAGTCGTAAGATTCTGGTGTGAGGAATTCCACAAATATCATCAACGAATAACAATTAGATTCAGCTGTAGAGTAAAAATTTCAGCGACCCATTTAATCTTCAATTTATCCTGTACGAATGATCAGAATCAAATAAATCAGGTCTCACTTCAAAGCTCTTGAAAATACCTTCAAAATGGCCCCAAATTTTTCAAATTCCACTCTGCCAATCTCGAGATATGAACCAGCAAAGACGTCCCTTCCGCCCCGAAATGCGTTAAATTAACTGAAATTCCTCCGCCGCGATTTAATTCAATTTCGCCCGAGTCCCAACAGCACAAAGCCGCCACACCTAATCCTCATAATTACAATTTACTGCGTCATTAACAATCTCGGGGTAATATACCCCCCCGAGCATTTTTCCCAAAGGCTTTTGTTGAAGGAAACCCCAGGACTTTGTGATTATTTATTCCCCTTTCATTAATCGCGATAATGACGCAGCCTTCGTTCACACCTCAACCGCCGCAAGTGTTTACCATAAACCCGGCGCGTCATTCCCCAGCCAGCGGTTTTCATCCCCGAGAATCTTTACTCGTGCCCATCCAGCCGTCTTATCCTTATTACACAGCACATCGGGTTCGATAAGCTCTGTACGACGGCCCTGAGTCGATTCCTTTCCCCGCGGAAATGGAAAATTAAGGACGTTTAGATGGTGTCGGTAAATTCTCAGTAAATGTTTTTTTTTTCATGGTCAAGGAAAATTCTGTATTTTTTTCGAAAATATTTTTTTTAATGATTATTTAAAAAAATAATAATAAATTATTATTATTATTATTATTATTATTATTATCTGAGGATTTATAAAAAAATAATAATAAATTATTATTATTATTTTTTTTTTTTTTCACTGATAATTTCGATTTCGTAAAAAATAGCGGAGATGAAGCAAAATTTGAAGGGAACATAATTCTATCAATATGGCTCATCTCGATAGTGAATACCTAAGGGAATTCATATTATATTGTCCGTGCTGATGGAACTTCAAAGTTATTTTATAGAATCAATGGAATCGAACGTCCACTCCTGGTGTTATTATTGCATAATGAGAACAAACATTGTCGCACATACTCTCGCTGTCTATTCATCATGTACATAATATTCTCCATTTGTTACGTTGTCTGTTCAGATATGTCAAGGATGGGTGGGACAAAATGGACACTTTCGATTTTTGGTCCAAAAATTGATTGTGTGAGATACACAGATTCATTAAAGTAGCTCTACCCTTGCGGTAAATTCAAAGATTATTGAAAACTACAAAAAAATTGCAGAAAACTCGATTAGATTCGGAATTCTAATTTTTTTTTTTCAATTCAATTATCGTTTTGGTTTTTCAAAGAATAAATGTTTAAAAATGAGGATTTAATCCAGTGTCTTAGGTGAAAGTGAACATTTCCATTGTAATCAAAGATTAAAATCTGAATTTTTTTTCATTAGATGTGAAAAAATCAAGAATTTTTTTAAGACCTCATAAAAAATAATCCACCGTTTTGCAAACAAGTTTTATTATTTATTTATAAGAGGGGAATGTTTGAAAAAATATGAATATTTTGCGAAATTTAATTTAAATAATACTGACTGGGTATGAATTTTTCAAATTTTTTCCATGCAATTTAGTTGAAAGATTGAAAAACTGAAAATATTCCAAAGTACAGCGTAGCTCGGCCGAAGGGTAGATCTACTTTAATCTAGCATTGATTGTAATTTTGCCATAAAAAAATAAGAGGAGACGAGAGATGCATCGCACGATATCCGGAATTGTTGTTTTAAAAACTGAAATAGGGACGATAATCCCATGAATTAAGATGAAACTGTTAGGTTGGAGTTTTGATGGCTGAAAGTGTAAAGTGGAAAAAGTTCAGGGAATTACAGTTTTGTACTTGCGGTCGTGCGTGACTCCGACTTTGGAAGTTTGTCCGGGGGCTTAGGGTGGCTAGTGTGACGGATTGCGAGGTGACTTTTAGGGCGAGCAGGACAAAAAGAGTCAACAACACAGGCTGATTATCCCCGGAATGATTGATATATCTTCGACGGATCAAGTGGAAATGAGAGCAACGAATTAATCTGAGAAATATTCTGGCAGTAATACAGGGGAAAGTCCCCCTGAACAAAATTCCCGAAAAGAAAACCCATATTCAAACGAACCAATCACAAATCCAAGCGGACGCTTGATATTCAACATTGTCCATTATTATAATTACCGTCGACTGTCCAACGCATCAAATATTCATGAATCCCAGCAACAATAATCCCATCATCTGAATGAAGATCTCATTTCCGTCGGTTTTTTTCCCGCACAGGATTGAATATTCATCACCAAAATTTCCTCACGTCACGGAGCATTGCCGTGACAGCATCTGTATGTTTAGTTCACCGCATCAAAACATAATGTCCCAGTGGCTAACGAATCTGCAGCCGTGCAGACGGAAAATTCGACTGCCGAATGTTAATTACGTCATTCGAAATTGACGAATCAAATTCTACAAGCATCACCGTCTCTTTGAGCCCATGTGTAACTCAGGGGAATAACTCAATAATGAAGTGGACAAAATTGAACATGAAAGAACGGGATTCAGGAAATGATACAATAGCATTCGCTCCGAGAGACACAGCACAAGGGCTAATTGGCTGGCCAGACATATATTAATTGATCAAAGCGCTGGAGTCTGCCGAAGCCGATGCTGTCATGGCTGTTGCAGCAGGGAGGACCCGACAACAACATAGAGAGGATGAAGAACAAAGAGTTCATGACGGTGGAACGGCCGAAAAGGAGAAATTCCTTAGCGGTTCTAGAATATTTGTCGATTGTTTCTTTTGTGAATAAATTAATGGAGTTGATTAATTAATTAATACGCAGAATTAATTAATACGCAGAAATAACTCATGACAATAAATCCTCATTCATAAAAAAATTATTCTGAACTCTCATTTTTCCCTAGAATTCCTCTTGATTCCCATGAATTTTGTTTAGTCTCATCAATTTTTCAGGAATAATTGAATTAAATTTTATGTTGATTTTGCCGGGAAATTTTAAATTTTCACATGGAGAAAAAAGTTGCGACCTCGATCTTCATTATTTTTTCACCCTACACCAAGAACAATGATTTATTTGAATCAAATAAATGAGTTTATGTAAATAAT